AAAGGGATCTGTCGCTCGTTAGGAGAGTGTTCGGTATCTGCTCATCTGTGACTTGAGTGCAATTTTCTCTTATCTACAGGATTAATATTTGAGCTTTCAGGAACAAAAAACTGTGTGCATTAGTTTTGTTGGTCAGCAGTATTAAATATAAAGTTATAGGAAGGAACTGTTTCAACAGGATGTGGATCTGAGAAGAGGCTGATGTTGAAAAATCACCTTCTGGTATGTCTATGAACATGCTACCCTTGCACAGTAGAAGCATGTGAACCGTTAATGGATGCAGGGGTAGAACTGGTGAATACATTTTAGTGAGCCAAAGGATAAAATCATCTGCTTATGAACCCTCTGAAATGACCATTTGTTAATGTGCATGGGGAAGGTGTGGGAAAAGGTGACTCTCCCTCCCTCCTCACTTCTGCTCCAGAGAAGAAGAGGACAACTCTGAATGCCTTTTGAGTGACTTCAGGGATCTGCTCCCACCCACTTTTCCTTGCAGCATACTCACCCCTAACAAATGAGTGGATGGACTGTCTAGATCTATTTTAGGCTTGTGAGGATTCTCAGAGAGAGGTTGTACGTCTTGTGTTTTGTAAGGGCTCAGACATAGTGCCATTTTTGTCCTTGAATATTTTAAAAATCTTGTTAAGTTGCTCCTTGGTGATGATCATGTAATTCATACATAAACACACTGCCAGCCTCTCTGTTATTTTATTAACAGTGTGCTGGAGCGAGTTTTTGTGTTCTTTGGTATTCATACAAGTGACCTGTGTTTTAGTGTGTAAATCGTGGGACTACTAAATGACAAATTGATTTATAGTGCATGTGTCAGTTGACTTAATCCTTTTACCAAAAGGATACAGTTGGCTACCTCTATAAAATTCAGTAGCTTGGCATTCTAAGTGTGAGTTATTCTTAACTGATATCTGTACACATTGCCTTCAAAGGAATCTAAGTGTTTTGCTCCATTATAAAGCATTTTATTAAAGTACCTTCACCAGTATTACCCTCAGTGTTTTTCCCCTTCTTCAGCCAGCTGGGTTGTTCATATTTTGCATATAGGAAAACATTAGGCACAGAGGCTGACTTGCTCAAGATCTTTTAACAAGACTGACAAAGCTGGTTTAGCCCAGGAC